AAAGAATAAACTAGTTTTATTTAAGAAAGGACTTGTATCGCTGAAGTTCCTCGGAAGAAACAGAGATGTAACAGTATACTCTAGTCTAATTCCTTATAGTAATAGCACACGACGAGACACGCATTCGGCATATAATGCTGTTTGAATACAAGAAGGGAAACAACGCCTCTGTAGACACAAAGAATATTAAAGACGTTTATGGATATGTTTTGAACGCTTGTAAGTGTCAACGATGGTTCAGCAAATTTCGTTCAGGTGACTTTAGCCTTAAAAACTGTGATGTAGGGGCCGATATGTTGGAATTGATATTGATGCTCTGAAAACACTTGTTGACTCTAACCCAAGGCAACATACTCGTGAAATGGCCTTCAAATTGCATCTCTCTCATGAAATAATACGTAAACATCTAAGGAATATGGGAAAACTCCATAAAGAAGGTGTTTGGGTACCTCACGAGATCTCCAGTGATCACCGGTGATTGATTCTCCATGCGAATACTAAATGCCAAAAACAATGGCTCAGTCCTAGATAAAAATCACTTCCGATCCCCAAACCTGGACACCATCCGCAGAAAGTGATGCTTTGCATTTGTTGGGACATCAAAGGAGTAATTCATTTCAAACTCCTCAATCCACAGCGAACTATCAATGCAGTGATCTATAGTCAGCAACTGGAACGTTTAAATCAAGCCCTTCATCAGAAACACTCTACATTCGTCAATCAGAAAAGTGTTCTTCTTCTCCACGACAATGCACATTTGACGCAACACAAGATTATTGAATTGGATTGGAAAGTTATTCTCCAACCACCATATTCACCAGATATGGCACCATCAGATTATTATCCAAAACAAAACGTTTATTAAATGAAATGGCCTTCATTCTTATCGATGATACTTTTTCGTCTTACAATCAGGTTGTTAATGCCCAGCTTAAAGAAATCACTTGGCTCTGAAGCAAAAAAACATGTCGCTGTGCTCTTTAACACTTTCCACATTTGCATCCGTTTTTCCAATTAAGATGGTGTTGCAGCGAACGAAAAAATATTTAAGTTGTTCGTGTTTTTTCATCTAAAAAAAGCGACATTAATTTCTTGACGACTTAATAATTGAGTGTAATTTAATTTTAACGTTTGTTTGTGTGATAAGCACAAAGTTTCACAATGGGCTATTCATGCTTTGTCCATCGCGAATATTGAAACCCGTTTTTATTGCGTTATAAGCCTTCAGTCTTACCACTTAGCCACTGAGAGGGATAATTTTACTGCATAAATGAAAATATATGTAGTTGTTGCTGTTGTTTTTCTTTGTGTATTGGGATATCTGCACTTTGTCCACAGCGAGGAATCGAATCGCGGATTATAGCGTTTTAAGTCTGTAAAATTTCCGCTGGGGACTTGTATGATACTTACTTTACAAGCGGATAAGTATTATAAAACTTAAAGCTATTTTAAAAACTATTCAAAAAGAATGTCACTTGGACGCATCAGTTGCATTGCAAAATTAGGTCTTGGCTACTTGGGAAAAATATAATGCATTCTTATACAAGTAAGTTAGAGTATAATTCTTTCTTATAAAGAAAAATGCTTCTCCTAATAAAAGTTGTCTTTTTCAGGTAAATCTCAGCATCAAAAGTATTAGTATTCCCTGATTTAAAATATTGGATTTGTTTTAATTCATATTAGGAACGACTGAAGAAAAGTACACGCCAAAGATTTCGAGAAGAAGCAGAGATGTTGAAAGGTCTTCAACATCCAAATATTGTACGCTTTTATGATTATTGGGAAGTTAATCTATTGAAGCGAAAATATTTAGTTCTTATTACAGAACTAATGACATCTGGGACTCTTAAAACGTAAGTGTTGCAAATTACTGAGTTCTTTGAAACAAACATTAAACTTTAAAGTAATGTTTGCGCTTATATTACTGTTGAAAAGTTAGTGTACAGAGAATGAAACATTCTGATTTTATCCAAACTGAACATAAGATAAGGACAACAATGGACCTTAGGACCTTCAAAGGCTGTCCTTTCACACCCACCCTTGAGAAAAGAAAAATCAACAATTTATTTTTAAGGAAATAATCTATTCTCCTCTTATACTTGTAAACTGCCAATGAGCCTGAATGCAACTCGTTGCATAAACACATCTCACTTTGTGACAATAGATTCAGATCCCATCTCCTATAGTTTAAATATTTATCAAGCCTTCCCTTAAACTCCCTTAAATTTACTACATCTACCACACCTGAAGCCAACTTATTCTAAAGGCAATACTATTAGAAAATAAAACTTAGTTGAAGATGACTTCTACCCTGTCAAAATTTATAATTGTGTCCCCTAGTCTTAACAGTCTCACCATTAAATATGGAAAAACAATCTTAAATATCTCAATCAGAAACTCTATAACTCCTCTTTTTTAAGAGAAAACAATGCCAGAGATTTGACCTTATCTTCATATGACAACTTTTCCATCCAAGGTATCGTTCGAGTGGGCTTCCTCTGAGCTCTTTCAAACAATTGTCATCTTGAAGATAAGGAAGTCAAGAATGAAAACAGTACTCAAAATGTGACCTAACCAGTGACTTATACAATGTAATTCTAACATCTTTAACTTACTTAACTTAATCCCGTAGACTCCCGGTGGAGCATAGGGCCGCAACAACACCTCGCCAACGGACTCTGTTCTGGGCTGCTCTCCTCAGCTGGGTCCATGCCATTCCGGCAGCCTTCGCTTCACTCCTGACCGATCTCCTCCACGTCTGTTTTGGCCTCTCAGCTTTTCTTTTCCCTTGTGGGTTCCAGTCCAAGGCCTGCCTTGTAACGTTGTCGACTGGTTTTCGCAGTGTGTCCAATCCAGCCCCATTTTCTTTTCCTGATGTCTTGGCTGACTGGGTTCTGGTTGGTCCTTTTCCATAGCTCTGTGTTTGAGATATTCTCTGGCCACCTGATGTTTAGGATGTGTCGCAGGCACTTGTTGATGAACGTCTGTATCTTGTTGGTGATGGTGTTCGTAACTCGCCATGTCTCGGACCCATACAGGAAGACTGCTTTTACATTTGTGTTGAAGATGCGGATCTTGCTGCACAGGGATAAAGCTTTGGAGTTCCAGATGAGTCGCAGGGTTTTGAACGCGAGCCTTGCTTTGTTGATCCGGCTCCTAACATCTTCATCTGTGCCGCCGTCTCTGCTTACTATGCTTCCAAGATAAACGAAGCGCTCTGTTTCCTTGATGTCTTTTCCCTGCAGCTGCAGTGGGTACTCTTGTTTGTTGTTCAGCCGCATCACCTCCGTCTTTCTGGTATTGATCTTCAGGCTGGTCTTTCCTGCCTCCTCAGCGAGCCGGGTGAGCTTGGACTGTGCATGCTGTTGCTTGTGGGACAGAAGGCTGACGTCGTCCGCAAAATCCAGGTCCTTCAGCTGTTTGGTGAGGGTCCACTGGATGCCGGTGGCACCACC